ATCTCATCAAGAACTCAGGATGAGCTCAGCAATGATTCAGCTAATGAGCTCCAGGTGAGGTCCAGGTGATTTCACAGAAATGCATTTGATGTCATAGTGAGTTCACTGTGAGCTCACGCGATGATTATCACTGAGTGATTTTTTAATGAGTCATAAATGTTATCTGGGTATGAGACAATTTGAAAAAATGATTTGGCCTCATCTCCGAGATGCCCTATATATTTTGTATTTACAAAAGTTTTGGACACATATAACAAAATAACTGAAAAAATTGCCCAGTTAAATAAAACAAAAGTAACAATATCTGGAAAAAGTTACGCTGTTAAACACAAGATGCAGTTTACTATGATAGATGGTAAGACAGCGCAAATATTCACAAAAACTTCTTCGGCTTTGACATATTTCATATGTAAAGCCAATCCTACTGAAATGATGGATTTAAATTTGGGTTATCCCCTTTGCATGCTCGCATTAAGTTAATGGAATGCATATTGCATACAACTTATCCTTGGAGGGTAACCAAGGAACAAAAGGAAAAAAAGGAATCCGAAAAAATTAGAATCCAGGACGAATTTAAAACGAAAATAGACGTTCTAAAAACAGGGTCGTAAAACTCTATATGTGGAAATACATCAAGAAGATTTTTTAGAAATCCCACCGACGCGTCGTTTCTGAAATAACAAAGGTTGATTTAAACTTAATTACTAGATTCCAAATTATACTTGAAGCTATAACTTCTGACAGTTTAATAGATACAACTAAGTTTGAAATTTATGCAGCAAAACCGGCAGAGTTATTTGAAAAGCTGTATCTATGGTACTACATGCCAGTAACCGTATATAAATTGTTAGTTCATGGCAAAGAGGTTATGGAAAATATGTTTTCCAGGGCTTCTTTCAGAGGAAGCACAAGAATCCCGAAATAAGGATTTTAAAAAATTTAGGTACAGTACAAGGATACATCTGAGAAAAACAAAATACGTAAAACACGAACCTGAAGAAGAAGTTAAAAATTATTAGTAGATTAAGGACCGAATGCAGAAACGTTGATTTATTTATATTAGCATATCAGTGGATATAGGATTTTGCACGACATGGTAACGCAGAATTTTTCTTTAAAACTGTTATTTCATAAAATTAGTTGGGTAATTATCTTTGAACGTTTATATTTTCCCTAAAAAAGTCGATTTCTATACATTGACATTTTAAATTAGACATAAAAGAATTAAAATTTCATACAGATTTATTTGACATTTGTGACATTTGCTTTTAACCATAGAAAATAATTTTTGCTAATATAAGTCATGATTTACTATAGAGTTTGTTTTTTGTCCAATAAAATCATCTAAATAGTCCAGTCATCTAGGCATTTTACCTCGGAATCTAACGGAATAAGCTGAATTTTTGTACAATCCTTTATTTTAGCATTACAAATGTTGTCTCAAAAGTCACATATGCCAACGTGTGAGCGGCCTTAGATATTCAAGGTCAAAGGTCGCAAAAATGAGTTTTTTGAGAATATCTCCTTTTCTCTGCTTCCTATCGTATTTGCATTTATTATAAAAGTTGTAGAAAATAAAAGTCTCTACAAATTTTGTTTAAAGCATTTTTTTATACGTCCAATCGTTTTTGAGATAGAGGGCGCAGAGTGTGGACCGCTCAGCCATACGTACCTTTAGCGCAAGGTAAATCGTGAATCCTAATCTATTATACCGTTTTTTTAATTAATTATTTATTAAATATTACTTTAATAAGAATTTAATACCGTATATTTATTTTTATATATTTTTTAATCATTAAATATTACTTACCTTTGACATACAAATAATTAAATAATGAAGTGAATCATTCTAAATATATTTTATTGTTATTCTAATGAATGATAAATGCATTTTAAGAAGAAAAGACATTAAATGAATTTATATGTTATCTCTGGTCATCTCTTGAATCCAGATATTGCTTTTAAAATAACAGACCTGGAAATACTATAGTGGGTTTGCTATAAATAAAAAGGTTAGGTATTCCTCACCTTTTTATTTAAAGCAAGTTGTGACCCTAGGTCTAGGGTTGTGACATATAATATTCGTGGCTGATTTGTGTTTTATTAAATTTTGTAATAAGTTACTTTCTGAAGGTGATTCTGTAACTGTTTTGCGCGGTATAAAGACTTTAAAAGAAGTAATTATTGAGGGAAATGATAAACTACCTAAATACTTTGACTTCTGTGTATTGAGTGTCGAAAATTGTACGCTAGTAAAAATTCAATTGCAGCAGCTAAACGTCGCCTTGAAGAGACTGGACCTTCAAAGTCATCAACTGTTCCACGTAAAAAAGAGAATGATGTGTTTGATTTTAAAATATTGTGCTTATTTTGTGGTGAAGGCTCAGATGCAGCAACAGAGGCAAAAAAATAAAAGTACAAACGCGTTATAAGTAAGGTAAGTACTCTTGAATTTAAAGACAAGGTCGTGAAAAGAGCAGAAGAACGAAGCGATACTTTGGAAAGATTAGTGATTGACCGTGTATCTTATCTGCATGATTTGATTGCTGTTGAAGCAAATTACCACAAAGTTTGCTAAAGCAATTTTTTAAAGCCAGTACCATCTCCAATAAGAAAGATTTACCAAGTCGACGAAATTACACAAGCAATGAAAGAAATTTATTAATATATATATATATATATATATATATATATATATATTATAGATGATCATGAAGACAATGCATATGACCCTGAAATTTTTGAGATAAGACAATTACTGTCAATGATAACGAGGAGAGTAATGATGAGAATAAGTTTGAAATTGCTGGCCAACCTGAAGAAGACGAGGATGAAGAAGATGAAGATTAATAATAATAATGAAAATAATAATATTGATATAAATAAAAAAGTTTTTACTACTCTGATCGATTCATACATCATTAAAATTAAATTAAAATATAAGATATATATTAAGATAAATTATATCTGATTTAAAAGAAATATAAGTAAAAGGTATTACATTTTTATTTTAGTAATATTTAATATATAATTAATTAAAAAAAAAACGGTATAATAGATTGGGATTCACGATTTACCTTGCGCTCCACACTCTGCGCCCTATATCTATAAAACGGTTCGACGTATAAAAAAATGTTTTAAACAAAATTTGTAGAGAATTTTATTCTCTACAACTTTTATAAGAAATGCAAATACGATAGGAGGCAGAGAAAAGGGGAAATTTTCAAAAAACTGATTATTGCGACCCTTGACCTTGAATATCTAAGGCCGCTCACACGTTGGCATATTTGACTTTTGAGACAACATTTGTAATGCTAAAATAAAGGTTTGCACAAAAATTCAGCTTATTTCGTTTGATTTCGAGGTTGATCCCCTTTTTTGACCAAGATGACTGTACTAAAAATGTAAATCGGTTGTTATAATTTATATCAGTCAACGACTGATTTAAAATATGGATAAAAATAGAGTATTTTTTGTTTGTATATAAGAAAAAATAAATTCAGCAGGTAAACATACCTATAACAAAGATATAATTAAAAAATAATATTTTTTTAAAGTTAATATTACTACCATCTTAATTATATCAAATATCTTTGCTTGAAATCAATTGAATTACAACTTTATTTGGTTTCATTGTAAAATAATTACCCATAACCTTGAACTTGGGTGAAAATATTTATTGATTATTTTTTTTATTATTAAAAGGGTGATATCACCCTTTTAATAATAAAAAAAATAATCAATAAATATTCTACAGAAGTAAGCAATATTGGGAACAATTTTGAAAAATTACTTTACTGCAAAATACAATACTTTTTATGTGTTATGTTGACCAACATATATAGTGTAATAAAAAACGGGTGACATTCACAATATTGAAATTCATTATATCGAATTCAAAATATCGAACACTTTTTATCGAAAATCAAAATATCGAAAATACAAAATGTCGAAAATCAAAATATCGAAAATTCAAAATGTCGAAATGAAAATATCGAAATTTTATTTAATCGAATTTTCAATTTATCGAAAATAAAATCTCGACCGCTGTCATACAGGTTATGACGAATAGCTGTCATCTTGGTTATGCAGGTACACTGCATTGTGCCATAATAAACCAACCCAAACTTAACAACCCAACCCAACCGACCCTGCCCCATTGGGCCCCTCCCGCCCCATTGAGCAATAGAGGTATAATATATCTAAGGGCAGGCTGGATTGTGACAATGGGGCGGGAGGGGCCCAATGGGGCGGGGTCGGTTGGGTTGGGTTGTTAAGTTTGGGTTAGTTCGGTATGGCACAATGCAGTGTACCTGCATAACCAAAATGACAGCTATTCGTCATAACCTTGAGGAATACTTTGCTACATTTAGCCTCTAGTTGAAAATGAGGTTAAAATATGCGACGGTTGAGCACACACATTTCTACGTCCGTCCGACGGTCGAGCACACACTTTTCTACGTCCGTCCGACGGTCGGGGAGACACTACCTTTAATTATTCGACATTTTCAAATCGACATTTTAATTTTCGATATTATCATTTTCGACATTTTGAATTTTCGATATTTTGATCTTCGACATTTTGTATTTTCGATATTTTGATTTTCGATAAAAAGTGTTCGATATTTTGAATTCGATATAATGAATTTCGATATTGTGAATGTCACCCATAAAAAACCTACATGGGCCAAGGTCATTGGGATTTTGTTGTCGTTTTATTTAGAAAAATCATAAAAGTATGTCCATGGTAATGACGTCATGTCCACGGAACTAAAAATGAATTTATTTTCGTCAAAATAAACATCCTAGTAATATCAAGGAAAAGACACAATGGTTTTGAAAAAGTTTTATTAAACAAAAATGCATTTTAATTTAAAAACAAAAGCAAAAAACCAAGTCCATGGTAATGATGTAAGGTTAACAGAATTATATATCTTTTAGTAAACACAACACGTAAATCATTTCAACTATTGAAGCCTACATTTTTTAAATGGTAAATACTATTTAATATTGCTGAACCCAATAAGCTCCTTATCTGCAAAACAATATTTGCCCCTTCTTAGTTTCTTTGGCACTGGTAAAGTCTTTTTGATATCACTTCGAGTCACAAACTCATTGTCTGCTTCCTCAGGCCAAATGAAAACAAAATTTTCTTTTTTGGAAGTTAATATTCTTCTCATAAAATCAACCTTCATGGTGTCATCGGTAGAAATACTTTCTATTTTTCCAACATAATAGACCTTGCATCTCGATGGATATTCTACCAGAGTAAAATCTCCAACTGTTAATTCATTTTCAATCAAAATGTTATCTTGACTTAAGGTATCTCTGTTGGAACTTTCATCTGACGTTGAGTAAACATTCGAATATCTGATACGAGACTGAGTGTTGGGAGGTGAAATGTGTATTTCGCCCAAATGGTAATGTTCACACAAATCTCCATAGCCGCAACCATCCACACAAGTTAATCTTCTCAAATGTATAATTTCTGGATTTTTTGATGACCATACAATTGATCGTATCTTGAGAGTTCCCTTAAAAGGTTTTATCAAAAATGGTATCACATCATTGACCCTTTCTATATCCTCATTTGATATTACATGAAACCTTATCCCTGGACAATTTTGTCGCAAAACTTCGACCAGAATCTCCAAGTTAGGTATGTCTTTACCATGAGCTACCACTCGATCTGCTGTTCGCTTTACGCAACCACCAATTCCATCGGCTGCTCCTTTTCCATGTCCACTTTCTGTAAAATTCCATGTCATATTGCTAGCTCCTAGAATCTTAGGAAACTCGGCGGCAAACAGAAAAAACATCGTCTTGTTTTTATACTGTGTTGTGGGCCCGTCACTAACAAAATGAACATTGTTTACAGTAGGAAATATATCAGTAATTATTTCAAATAGTGGATTTAAATGTGCTAATATACTGGCTGGATCATGTCTCAAGTTATCAGAGAGACTACAAAAAGGATTTGCTTTTATTTCTCCATCAGACTGATAATACCACACTACCGTATGTAGCGTGATTTGAGACTTTGAGCCACCAAAATGAACACTTTGGATTTCCTCAGAGTATTTACATTCGTAGTTTTGAGAAAAATCCATATGTATTAAAATGTCACCTTCTTGTAGATTCGTTTTCAAGTAAGTTATTGATTCATGTTGATGTCGCATCTTGACTGTATGGAACATATAATTTTGCAAGTTTTTTTCCAGCTCATTCACCAAATCACGTTTCGTGCAAGAAATGTCCACTTTTTTACACTTTGATACCACTTTTTCCTTGCCTTTTATCATAATTACCTCTCTCTGAGTAATCCATTTTTTAAAAGAGGAATTTTCATCCTCGTCATATACATCCAGCATCAATTCTTTATGATGGCATTGCTCACAAAGCCTTTGTAAGCACTCTTCGGTGACTGGTTCACAGCATATAGTTTTAACTAGATTATCCGGGGAGCCTTCGGCAGTTATGTGCAAAACTTTCAGTTTGGAAACAAGTAGCCTCATGTTTTCATGTGTGGAACATAGACACGTTTCTCTAGAGGCTGCTGATGGAATTAAAACCCAAAACGGCCTTAAACTGCAAAAAAAAGCATAGGAAACTCTAAATTGTTCTTCCTTAGAACAGAATTTTAAGTATAAGTTTTTTAAGGTGTCATTTAAAAAGCGTTTTTGTTTTCTGACTTTCCTGAAGGTTATGAAGTCTCTTTTTCCAGGTGTCATACGACTATTCTCATCTTCTTCATAAAAATGCGTTATTGCTTGTTTAATCTGTCTTGTCATCAACTTATTTCTTGAAAAATTCACATGTTTTCTGAAGTGTAGATTGTAGGAACCCATTTTAACAAATCTCAAGCACTTATACTTCTTTATAATTTTTCCTGAAATACATTTTGCAAATTCTTGTTTTTCATTTATTCCTTTTCTTAATTTATAGTTTTTTTCTATTTGAAGTTTCAGTGCCTCAGCAATAACCAACTTTGATTTTATATATGGCGGAACATTAAGACCATCAATTTCTCGTTCAACATTCGATTCAGGACTATTTTTCTTATTTCTTTCCAGTTTGTATTTTTTCTTCATTCTGTGATACCTTTGTCTGTACTTCATTTTTTCTTTCCCGACCTTTTTCAACTTTAGTTTTAAATTATTCAATTCCCTCACAGTCTTTGACCTCCTTCTTAATACTTGCTTTCTTCCACATTTTTTTCTTGATGACAAAGGCGTCTCAAAGACCTGGAAAACATTTGGTTGTACTGGTGGTTGGACGTTCTGTAGCAGACTTTTCTCTATATTGTTGTCTTTTTGTTTGTCCCTATATCGCTGAGAGGCTTCTCTCCAAGATTTTCTTATAACTTTCGCCGTTCTTCTGGGTTGTTCGTTAATAGATCTTAGCTTTTTTTCTTCTTTGCGTTTCTGATACCGTTCTCTTTCGCTTATTTTGGACGACTCGTACAATTCCGCATTCTCTTTAATTTTTTCTCGCCTCCTGCGCTCACATTCTCGCTTTTGTTGACGCCTTCTTTCAATCTGTGATGTTTTTGACATTGTTCGACCTTAAAAATAAGAAGAAGCCTATTTATCATAACAATGCAATAGAATGTACAAAGTGAATCAACTCCATGGACATTGGGTCATTACCATGGACACTGACTGACCATGGTAATGAGGTCCATGGTAATGACGAAATTATATATTCTGGAACTTTTACTAAAATATAATTTAAATAATGAAAAAATATTTGTATTACAAGTTTATATACTTCAACTTAAGCAGCTTACAGCAAGAAAAATACAAAAAATATATAAACAAGTTGAATTTTGTCTGTCCATGGAACTGATGCATTAAAAAAATACGCACCTGTAAAACCACGTGTTGGCCTCTTGTAGTAAATAATCACGTGACACACCTTACTCGCGTTGCTCTTCACTGACAACTGTGATGGCGATATCTCCCCTTCCGCTAAATAATGATAGACAATGTTGCCAAATTTATTTTTTTGGAGTAAAAATAACGAGGTCCATGGAAATGATGGTCACTGGTGTGACAGCACTTTAGCTTTAAATTTGAAAATAACCAAAATAAGTTAAATCAATTATAGGCCAGAGTTTAGATTATTGATTAATAACTTAGAAGATTGTATTAAAAAAATGACTCATTCTTGTATCTTTAACTGGAAAAATAACATTTTGCGTTTCAAAACGTCTGATGTGACAGTCCATGGTGATGAATAAAAATTTTGTAAAATTATAATTAAAAACAAATGTTGTCTACAATAAAGAAGTAACTATTGAAGTATGAGGAAAAAAAAAATAATATTGTGTATTTATATTAATTTCTAGCCTACAGTAACGTACTTTTTGCCTACTTTTGTAGAATCACCCAAAAACATACATACCTTCCATAAATGTTTACTTTTTAATATAATACCTAGATAATTAAACAAAATTACTATTTAATAAATAATAAGGATTATAAAATAATACCAAAATTGTGTTTAAAAATTATTTGTCTTATTTTTTAAATGCTTGCTCTTCAAATAGAAACAGTAGGTTTTGGGTAAAGGGCAAGGTAGAGGGAACTTTTTTTCTGAAGAAATTTACACTCTATTTATTTTTGGGCTCAGAAATATAGGTATACCTATATAGTACCTATAGGTACTATTAAACAAAAAAGAAAATGAAATGGAGGGACAAAAGGGCAACAACATGGGTATTTCAAATTGAATATACATATTATAATATAATTAACATTTTTTGCCAGTAATACAAGTTTAAAAGGCATTTTCTAGATAACAACAATTGTTTTTGCTCGAAAGCAAAAACAGGCACATTGTATGAAAATATGTTTTTATATTTTTGGTTCAAATTGTTTTTTATCATTTGTAATATTTATTTGACAAATAATTAAAAGTATGCTCTGAAAAAATATTTTTATTTTTAAAATAAAATACACAGGGTAAAAAAATCTGGACTAGAAATGCAACAGTTAAATTTTATAATTTGCTTTATTAAAATAACAGTTTTTAAAATTTGTGTAGCTATATTTTTCAATATAAATTATTTAAAAAACAAAGTGTATAAGGCATGCATAATTTTTTTCTTTGCGTTTAATTTAACCTTTTAGAAAAGCAGGGATTCTTGCTCCATTTCCAGCAAGGGTCCCGGACAACATTCGTAATATTCATACGAACATCACGTCGTGATTTTTACAAATTTTTTTCATACTGATATCATCCGGATGTCACTGCGTGAGAAATGAAAATCATGTCTTGATTTTTTATGCCATCGCTGTTTGCGATTGACCGATGGCACAAAATATCATGTCGTGATTTTTTATGCCAGCGGTGTTTGGATAATCATTTTTGCGCCACTAAGAGAAAAATTATGTTGAATGAACAGTTTTTGCGGTTAAATACATTCAATATTTTCTTGGATTTAAATTAACTATATATAGTTAATTTAAATCCAAGAAAATATTGAGTGTTAAACTGTTGTTTCAATTGTTAACATACTTTTTCTTTCAATGTACCAAACACCGATGGCATAAAAAATCATGTCGTGATTTTTTATGACCAAACACCGATGGCATAAAAAATCATGTTTTTTTATGCCATCGGTGTTTGGATATTTATTTTTGCGCCACATTCGTACATTAAGAGAAAAAGTATACCTACATATACAAGGTGTCCCTAACTTATTAGCATAAATTTAAGAAAAGATTGAGCAAGTAAAATTAAGACGAAAACCTAAATAAATATTTTTCCTAATTAGTTATGTTTCCAAGATACAGGGTGATAAAGTGTTACTTATCATATCAGTTTTTTTAATGTAACTTCTACTATAGTAGTCTTGGAAAGGTGATATTTTGCGAACAGTCACTTACTACCAAAACACATTTTCACACATAATTACAATTGTTTGAGTGAACACAGTGTCGTAGAAACGGGGGTTGCTTTAAGCTTATTGTCCCGTACAAACGTTGAGTTTAGGTATTTGTAACATTTGATGCAATTTTTCGATTAAATAGTTCGGCTACCATTAAAAGGTGTACCTCTCAAACTTCGATAAAATAAACCGTTTCCGAGATATTCGAGATTACAATAATTGTTGTATCGCATCATTTAAAAGGATTAAAAAGTATACAAATTTTATTTTTTAATTGAAAAAAACTAAAAAAGGCATTCCATGAGCCTCGGGACTTTTTGCCCTGACCGTCACATTAAAAAAAATTGTAGTTTTTTTAATTAAAAAATTTATCATTTACCTTTTAGTTCTTTAATGCGATATAACAATTATTGTAATCTCGAATATATCGGAAACGGTTTATTTTATAGAAGTTTGATAGGTACACCTTTTTAATAGTACCGGATCTGAGTAATCGAAAAATTGCATCAAATGGTATAAAAACCTAACCTCAAAGTTTGTATGGGACAATAAGCTTAAGCAACCCCTGTTTCTACGACACTGTGTTCACTAGAACAATTGTAATTATGTGTGAATATGTGTTTTGCTAGTAAGGGACTGTTCGCAAATATCACCTTTTCAAGTCTACCATAGTAGAAGTTATATTAAAAAAAACTCATATGATAAGTAACACTTTATCACCCTGTATCTTTTACATACGTACTTGGGAAAAATATGTATTTAGATTTTTGTTTTATATTGACTTGCTTAATCTGCTCCTAAATTTATGCCAATAAGTTTAGGTACACCTTGTATATTGAATCAACAGTTTTGGTGGTTAAATACATTCAACATTTTTTTGGATTTAAATTAATAGTTAATTTACATCCAAGAAAATATTAAATGTATTTAACTGCAAAAACTGTTAATTCAATTGTTAACATACTTTTTCTTTGAATGTACGAATGTGACGCAAAAATAAATATCCCGACATGTTTGGACCGATGCACCGATGGCATAAAAATTCATGTCGTGATTTTTTATGCCATCCGTGTTTGGATATTTATTTTTGCGCCACATTCGTACATTGAGAGAAAAAGTATACGGCCATTCCACGCGTAACGGATGGGACAGTTGCAAGTTTTTATTTACAAAATAACATTATTCTATTATATTACTAATGTCAAAATTTTTATTAATAGTTCTAAACAAAAGCTGTTTAACAACGTTTTTATTTGGCAAAATTAGGTATCGTGGTTGACTGTTTAATTCCTTAAAAATTAATATTTTTATTCAAAAAGATAGTACTAGTTTTTGAATAAAAAAAACTAATTGTTAAACATTGGAATATCTTTTTTAATTGAACCCGGACAACATTCGTGATATTCAAACAACGTTTTATAAATTATAACGGTGTAGTGTGAATAACAAACTAGGTTTTAAATTCGCATTTCGCAGGGCTCATACGCATGCGCAAATTTTGCAAATATCACACTGTGAGTTCTACATGATATCACTGTGATGAAGCACGTGTATGAACTCAGGATATCACAGCGTGATAAAAAAAATCACGTTGTGATATCATCATGACTTCACCAGGAAATCCCGATTGTTGTCCGGGGTGTAGCCAGGATTTTTTTGTTTTTTTAGTATAGCTCCCTCCTTTTGAAGTTAATTCTGAAGCCATAATTTATGTATATCAAGCATTAACTAACAGATGTTATCCTCTAGAGTTTGTTTCTTAATTTTTTTATATTCTTGTCACAAATTTTTAATGGGTTTTTTCCCTCTCGATGTCTTCGGCATCATTGGATTTATTTTTCAAAACATGTGCCTAAATGCCTAAAAAGGTGTTATTGATACCTGTAAAAGAATAGGTAAAAGAGCATTTACTTTTAGAAAAAGGTCTAGTATTCCTATAGATATAATATAATCATTATAATAATTATATATAATTATAGGTATATAATTATTATAATATACCTAATTAATTAATCTTTTACAAGCACAAACAATTAAATAACATTTCCATAATCTTAAACAAAATTTCTTTGTTCTTTTCATACCTTCTAGTGCAAATTTAGGTACCCTGCTGAAAATGACGGATGATTGCGGATATAAATTCTTCGTCAAAACCGGATAAAAGCAGATGATTGCGGGTATAAATTCTTCGTCGAATACGGATAAAAGCAGATAAAAGCGGGTAAAAATATCATCTGATAACATCTGCTTTTGTCCGCATCGCTATATCCGCGAACACCCGGTTGGTTGTGTTTTATGTCCGGTTAGTGCACCCCCGCAATCATCTGCAATCATCTGTTTTTAACCGTCTTCACTGTGTTTCGTTTATATCTGAATTTGTCCGGAATCATCTGCAAACGTCTGCTTACGTCTGTTTTTATCCGCGATTACCTGCATTTTTTTTCGTCTATTTTTGTCGGGTTTTATCTGCAAACGTCTGGTTTTATCCGCGAGCATATGCATTTACCCGCGAACATCTGCAATCATCCGCGAACATCTGCTTTCATCCGCGAATATCTGATTTTATCCGCCAACATCTGCTTTTATCCGCGAACATCTGCTTTCATCCGCGAACATCTGCTTTCATCCGCGAACATCTGCAGTCACCCGCGAACAACTGCTTTTATCCTCGAACATCTGCAATCACCCGCGAACATCTGCTTTCATCCGCAAACGTCTAGTTTTATCCGCAAACATCTGTTTTCATACGGTTTCACCCACAAACATGCTTTTATCTGCGAACGCCTGATTTCATCCGGTTAGTGCACCCCCGTAAATATCTGCTTTTATCCGCGAACATCTGCAACCACCCGCGAACATCTGCTTTCATCCGCGAACATCTGCAATCATCCGCGAACATCTGCTTTTATCCGCAAACATCTCATTTTATCCGCGAACATCTGCTTTTATCCGCAAATATCTGGTTTTATAAATACTATCGATAGTTTTTATTAAATCTTTTAGACGAAATTTCCTAGATTTACCGACAAAAATCCAAGTTGGCAACACTGGATTGACAAACAATTCTCATAGAAATAATACTAATAATAATGATACTTCTCTCTCTAAATTCTACATTAACTATTCATTGGAAGCTCTAAATATATGGCTAATGGAGTTGGGTCTATCATTGAGTCCGGAAAAGTCTAAAGCAATCCTCTTTTCAAAATCAAAAATTCCTTCTCCAACTATCAGAATAAATGAATGCCAGATAGAGTTCGTAAAAGCATACAAGTTCCTGGGGATGTATCTTGAGAATGATCTTAGTTGGTCAACTCACATAAATAAATTAAGTGA